TTTCTTTTCATTTTTATCACTGCAGAAAACAGAAAAAAGAAGTAATGTGCACCCACAGAGTATAGTATCCTCACTCACAAGAGTACTGAGCATGTCAATCTTTAAGTAGCGAGAAAAATACATCTTTATGTTTAAGCCAAAAACAACTTCTCCCACATCAGTACGAGGCAGACATCATGAGCTTTGGGAATTTGGCAGACAACATATTAGTTCAACTTATTGTGCAACATCTCGATATAAATAGACAAAAACCCTCTGACACAAACACAGAAATAGTTCTGTCTCCATTTACTCGACTTCATGCTGATACTGTTATCCTGCTCAAAAACTTTTCACACTGTGATATAGGATTTTGGTCACACAATACTTTTCCTCTATTATTTAGTTGCAGGGGAAAAAATGGTTTGGCAACAATGGCATCACATTCAGGGCATCGGTTGAAAGCCTAATCTCTCAGCACAGATGTGTAGGACTCCTATAATTCAAGCATTTGAAGCGAGCTCAAAGACGCCTCCATTGGCATTAAAAGATTCACCACAGTGCTGGCACTAACAGAGGACACGGTAAACCCAAATAAGAGACCAAACTCAACTCGTGCACATTGATATAATGTCAACATCTGCTTTCAAAAACATGCATCCATTACGACTGGCAGAGTTCAGCATCAAAAAACTCCCCATTGGCTCTGTTTCAAAACCTAGTGAACTGCCTACGTAGGCAGCATCTAAAGGCATTATAGACACGTTCCTGTCATGTAGGTTGTTCCAAAAGGTAGGCATACGGTGGCCGAAAAGTGCAAAGCAAATCACAATTCTGAAAACAAAATAACAAATTACAAAAGCAAATGCAAGTCTAAAAAACATAATAACAATTCAGAAAACCCTATTTACACTATGTTAAAATAGCAGGTTTTCTACTATCAAGTATACTACTTGTTGCAAATAGTGGCAATTATCTGCACTTCAGTATTGTAGTACATTATAAAACAGTATGCAATAATAACATATTGAGTGTAAATTATAATTAAAATTTTTATTATTAAATGGATGCCACCTTATTGGTACAATAAAGCCCTCCCTACACCTACCCTAACCCTACCCGATACTTTATTTTCAACTTTTTGATTATTTCCTTAATTTTTATTGAAAATAAATGCCTTTACGATGTGATACGAGATTTGAAAAGGGAGAAAAAAAAAGTTTGGCAAAAGTTGGGATCGAACCCGGGTCGATCGCGTCAAAAAGCCAACAACAAGCGCTTAACCATCTGCGCCACTGGAGCTGATGGTTTACAGCCACTAAATAGACTAAATTTTTTCTGTATACTTCCTGTATACGTTGATTGACAGATGTCTCGTCCAGTCAGTGGTGAGTAATCCCAAACCAATGGCGCTGTCTCAAACTATACCTACCTCTTCCGGTTTGTCTGATTTGTCTTTGTGTTTTCTGACTTGTTATAATGTTTTCTGAATTGTTGTTGTGCTTTCTGAATTGTTCTTTTGTTTTTTAGACTTGCATTTGCATTTGTAATTTGTTTTCAGAATTGTGATTTGCTTTGCACTTCTCGGCCACCGTATAGGCAGCATAATTATTCTAAAATACCTTCTATTTGGCTTTCAAAGGTAGTATCGCATAAAAAGCATGCACCGTGCTTGCCATCTAGGATGAAAAAATAATGCATTTTAGTTGACAAAGCGAGAGAAATTGTTTGATGTATATATACTTATAATTTATACTAAAAAGTATTAATAAAATTAACCTCAAAATAATTAAAAATAGACTGTTTACAGTATATTTGAATGTGCTGTGTATTTTTATGCATCACACTGTTAGAATAGTAACATGTTAACAACAAATACATTTTTACATATATATATATATATATATATATATATGAGATACGATTTCCATTTTCAGCTGCCTATGTAGACTGTAGACAGCAAGACATCTGCAATGTGGCAGAATCGTGGCTCAAATATATGGATTTAAAATGAATGCTAAACTTAAATTCATTACAAATGTGTAACATAAAAAAATTATATTTTATACATTTATAAATATTTTATAGGAGTATATGCTTTTTACATGTACATACTATATTACCAGTCATAGACATTCTAAAATATCAAAATATATATATACTGTATATATATATATATATATATGTTAGTATATAATTTTTTATGATATTTAATAGTTCACACAAAAAAAATGTCAATTAAAAAAATATAATTTATGCTGATAACTGTGCCACTTCAATACTGTATTGAGATTTGATTATAATATAAATTATCACTGTGCAATGGTATTTCAGGATTAATGAATAAGACTTGTTTCATTTTGTATCTTACATAAATCCTTAAACCTTGCATCCAGAGAGAGCTACAGACCTCCATTATCTTCCCTCACACAAACTGTATGACAATCATTCCTGCCTTAAGTATTAGATCGCATTCAGAATGAATTACAGCGTCATTAAAGTTCAAATGCAGTGGGCTGATGCTGCCAGACACCAAGAGTGATCCAGTTACCACAGCATCAGACAAACATGCATATACATCATTAGAGCTAAATTAAAAGCCCTTTGGGGTTTGCTGGCCTGTTTGCTTTAATGTTGCTTTTGAGGCCTGGCTAAAAGGAAGTAATTCCAGGGGAGGATTCCTGTCATCCATACAGGCCATGCTGACAACCACGGCCGCATTTCCTATTGATTCACAGCAGATAATTCATCCCTCACACCCACATTCAAGACCAGAGCGGAAAAATACATACATTTGCTCATAAAATATATAGACCTGCACTCAGACTCATGTACACACTCCTATTGACACACACGCATGGTTTTTCACCTCAGGCAATCTACCCGCAAGAGGGACTGAACAAGTTCACTGAACAACAAAGGAAGGAAACAGTTAATCAATATGCATGAAGGCAGAGATAGTGAGAAAAAGAAAGACAGGAAAATAAAAAGGATAGGCTCTGTCTGTTTCACCAAACGAACGGCCGTACTTGCATTCAGTTCAGTCATTATGCACTGACCGTTGATTTAAACCTCCACTTCAGCAAAGTGAAACTCTTACTTCTTTAAGAGAAATGGCACCGACACAGTAAGAACAATACCAAAAGAAACTCAGTAAGAAGATGGGTGCTCAAGCAGCAACATTTCTTGTAATTGCTTAGGGAAGTCCAAATCGACAACCATAAAACCCTAACATTTCCTCTAAAACTCTGCATCAAAGTACCGGACGCAAACACACTAACTCATTTTTACCAGAATGCACTGTAAATGCACTGTCTAAAATGAAGGAAAAAGACAACGTGCAGACTATTTCTGACAAGCCAGGACTAAAAAACTGTGACATTTGCATAACCAAAAGCATTTGCAATTACAATTCACCAATTAGGACATCAGAAGCTTTGTGAGAAAGCAGGCCCTCATTATGAACCCAAGAATCATACCAAGTGTGTCAGACAAAACAACACAAAGCTGGTTGGTTTAAACCTGAGCCAGAAGAAAAAAAAAAAAAAGCTGAAGCAATGATGAGGAGAGAGGTTTACTGGTAAGGTCAAGACAGTCTAGCGCACACCAAACCAAGGATGTAATGTTTGGTTTTTACGCAAAATCATTAGTACATGAATCAAAAACAAACAAATAATAATAATACAAATAAAATCCTTAGACAAGTTATTAAAAATAGGTTCTCACGATCCATTCGTGATTTTTTTTTTTTGTAGGCTTCATCGTTATGTCAGTAGGTTGCAAAAAGTGATTGAATCATTAACTCGTTCAAACACACTGATTCAATTCAGGTACAAAACATGTAACTGTCCTTACAAGTACATCATTGAATTATTCACTCACCTGAGTCATTCAACAATGCTGAACAACGCTCAGAAATTAAACAACTGCCTATCTTTAAGAATGAGTCACTGAATCATTAACTCAGTGATTCATTCAGTACAAAAAATAAGTTACTATTAGTGAGTCATTGAATCATTCATGCATCTGATTCATTCATACACGCTCATTCAATCAGGAACTAAACATTCATTCATTCATATGATTTGTTCAACAACACTGATTGATTCAGGTTGACTATACACGTGTTTTGGGACATACTTCCAGTGACTCATTGAATCATTCACTCATTAGATTCACTCAACAGCATTAATTTATTCAGTAACACCACAACTGTGCATTGTGAGATGCTTAATGTTTCACTTGAAAATATTTTCTGTGGAGGAGCAAAAATACACAAAGCAACTTCTAATACTGTGTCTAAAATATAAGTCACTCAATATTAAAGGGATAGTCCATTCAAAAATGAAACACATTCTGTCATTGTTTATGCCCCCACCTCGCCCTCTTGTCGTTCAAAACCTGTATGCATTTTGTTTCTTTTGCGAAATGCTGGGAATCAAACAGTTTCGGTTTGCATTGACTTGCATTAAGTACAATAAAAGTCAATGGGAACCAAACTGTTTGATTACCAACATTCTTCAAAATATCTTCTTTTTTGTTCCACAGATTAAGGAAAATCATATAGATTTGGAGCAACATGGGGAGTAAATAATGACAGAATTTTCATTTTTGGGGGAACTATCCCTTTAACATCTTGAACTGTTGTATAAAAGCTATAACACATTCACGATCGTCCTTGCATGATCTACAAACCATTGTGACACAGTTATATCACACCACGTTACAGGAAAAACTTCACCATTTCAAAAACAGCTGCGTTGCTGTCACTGCAAAATGTAATTAAGTTAAAGGGTCTTAGTTCCCTTTTAGTCAGTCACGTTCCACGTTACGTCAGTAACTGACGAATTGGGATCCCAATTCATCAGTCACTGACGTAACGTCTCCGTTCCCTCCTTCAGGGAATGAGGGTTACATACGTAACCGAGACGTTACTTTAGTTAGTTACTCCCCAAAACCACAGCTAGAATCCTTTGGGACAGAGGCGGGATTAGCACAAGCATTTTCCGTTGTAGTCCTACCTGCGTGAGGTGCTGTCAGAAAGGGAAGCTTGATGGGTGAGAATGAGAGCAGGTGGAGAGGGTGAGCAGAAGAGACAGATGGTCCCTGTGTCACGTCAGATTCCATCGCCATCATGGCTGCTGCTGCCAGAGCGATCCGTTTAGAACTTCCTACTCGCTTAATGGCCACGGGACAACCTGAAAAGAGAAATAAAGTTTGATAAAAGAAGTGAATTACTTTGCTTTGTCGAATAATACCTTGCAAATAACAGTATTTTTGGTTGGCAATTTTCTAACAAAGTATGTGCTCCGAAATATTTATTGTGATGGCTGAACTTGAACAAGGATGGGGAAATGGTCCCAGTAAATTCAGTAATGTGAGTCTGTGTCGATTTTTATTCCATCAAGCTGTCTATTTAAAGTCACCATTAAATCAAAATTTATTTTTTTAATAGAATATTGCAGTTTATGATTTATCTGTGCACACGATTTTTTTTTTTTATTCATGTGTCTTCATAAACTTTAATGAAATGATACTAAAACATAATCATGTGAGAGTGCAGCAATTACCAAACAGTCAGTTCCCAATGGACAAAATCAAGTGCCGCCGTACATCTTTTCTCGTTCAAGAGACAGTTTTACAGTATGCATCATAATAGGGAAGATGATCATAACCAGTGGTGTAGTGCAGGGTATACGCAGCTGTATGGCATATACCCACTACTTTATCAGTCGGCATTGCGTATACCCACGTCTAAATCCCCTACGATGCGCTTCATCCTGTAGTGTCTTGCATTAGCCAAATCAAGACAGTCCAGTACATGAGTAGCTAATCTAATTGCATGTGAACAAATGCAAATATTCCCTAAAAACACTCAGGACTGAGGCGTAAACACGTTCATGCAGGCTATGTTTCATTCATACTGGAAGCTGGAGGGCGCATGTAACTGTCGTAGGCTAGTAAGAGCTAGGACGCTAGGGGCCGTGGCCTTTAGCCTCCTTGTTAGAGCGCCCGCCTCCCACGCCGGAGACTGCGATTCAAATCCCGCTCGGAGCGTGGCGAAGTAGAACCGGTTACATTTGGTGCCGTGACCCGGATGGGAGTGAGGTTTAGGGGGGTGAGTGTAACTGTCGTAGGCTAGTAAGAGCTGTGCGTGTAAACCTCACTCCCCTGATCTCAAGAGGCGCTCTAGCGACTGATGCTAGGGGCCGTGGCCTTTAGCCTCCTTGTTAGAACGCCGGAGACCGCGGTTTGAATCCCGCTCGGAGCGAGGCGAAGTAGAACCGGTTACACACAAGTCCAAAACAGACTCATAGAAGTAATAACTTCTACCAGGAAATTCCTAATATGTATAAAGGAATTATATTTATTATATTCATTATATTTGATTATTATTATATTTGACATTTCTGTGTCAGGGCTCAGAATTGCCATTTCCCCATCACTGTATGTCATGGGAGAAACAGTCAGTCACACATAGGAGTAGAGCTGTACAGTTCTGGATAAATTGAGAATGACAGTTTTTTTTGTTTGTTTCAAATAGAGATCATGATTCTCCCACGATTGTATACAGTCAGCTAAACAAAATAGCATGTATTTATTTAATTTTATTTGAATTATGTATTGCAAAATCTGCACCTCTTCTGTGGCTAATATTAATTTCATAATGATCTTGTTCCATGAAGTCAAGCAGCAGAAGTTAAGTGACAGTGTGCAAATACTACTGGCTCATTTTGGGGTGAACTAAATATGCAAGACTAGTTTTACATGTCACTGTTTATAACAAAGGGCATTCATAAGGGCCGCTTAAAAAAATTGGGGGCATAAATTGAGTATACCCACTTCCTACCCGGTCTCATGGCAAATACGTACCTGGGGGCACATTTTTGCAAGACGCGAAATACGTACCAATAAGTACATATCACTGCAGTTTCCAAAAAAATGAACACTAGAGGCAGTAAAACTCCGACACCTTTTAAATTATTTTCACACAGAGTATGATTTACAGAGTTTCGATTAATAAAGCATAATTTTCGCGCAATTACTTGAAGAGTATTATGTTGTGACTTCAAAACATTTTTAATATGCTGGGAGATTTGAAAACCGATGCTTTTGATTGTTAGCACCGCACATATCCAGCTTATTAATTTTAATATTAATTCATTTAAAATCAGCATATTAATGGGTTTTCATAGACGATAGGTTTGTTCGGTAGGTCACGGAGTACGGAGACGTACTTGAGAGGTGAGGAGCTCCGGTTCGAACACTTCTCAAGGCACCACTACACCACTGATCATAACTTCAGTTTAACGCTGAATTTAAATGCACAATGTTTTAGAGATGTTAATGTTATGTATTATTGAAGTGACTTTAATCATTTTAATCACTTTAATCACCATCTATAATCTGCCTAAAACATAACATGTTACTATAAGAAAGTAAATAGGGATCAAGCTCTACAGTGTTCCATATGTAGAATTAAAAAAGAAAAAAGAAAATAAAGAGTCATATAAATAGAGATTGTTATAATTCTATGATGTACATCAGTGGTGACTGTATGTGTATTCTTCCCACCGGATGTTGTGTGCAGGTCTGTCTTTGCTCTGGGGTTTAATTGGCTGCCAGATATTTTCATGGGCTTTTGCCTTTGTGTTTCATCAAAGTGTTGAAATCCTTATCAAATCTGAACACACAATCCCTCACACACACTAATATCTACTATATGTGAGTGCATGGAAAACTCCATAACTGCACGTTGACGCATTAGAAGAGATGTGGTTTGTAACGTTGAATGTTGAATGTTTATAATTATAATTTTTCTACTTCAATATTTCACAGTAATTCAATTTGTTACTTGGAGTTTGCAAAATCATTTGTGAAATTTGCTAGTAATTATCTTATATGTTTTGCAGTAGCCTAACCAAATATATTGTATAGTACATAATTTGACACAATTTTGGGTCAAATATGGACAAACCCAGCTGTTGGGTTCAATTTTTTAATGACATTTTTAACCCAAAAGTTGAGTTAGTCCATATTTGACCCATAGTTGGGTTGAAACAACCCAGCATTTTTTAGAGTGTAATAGTCAATTGTTTTGGACTGACAGTTGTTTCCATTTGCAAAGCATCATGGGATGAGTAGTATACTCAAGTATACTTACTTACTCACGTATACTTATACTTACGCAAGTCATTTACTCAAGTATACTTAAAGTGTAGGATTTACTTTTAAACCATTTTTCACTCAGAAATTGTTAGTGAATTTCACAAATAATCACAAATAAATGGCAAGTAACATTGAATTAAGCATGACATTTTTGGAGTATTACAATGGTTGTCAAAACCATGATGATGATCCATTATTAGTCACCTGGGTGAGCTTACACACATGTGCTCGTCTCATCTCCACCATTTTCAGCGCCTGCCTCCTCCCCTGAGTGAGGGAAATGCTATTTAACGAAACCTTGAAGAGATCTTTGGAATGAGCAGGCGGGGTGTTTCTTCCACGCTGAGCAGCTGAAACACTTTATCTAATGGTACTGAGTGGGCGGATCAGAGCCAACCAGAGCAGTTAGCATGCACATGTACCACACTAGAAATCAGGCCACCGGGGAATATATCATATGGAACGGCTCCAGCACGTCGACTCTCCCATACTGCGAGAACACTTTAGAAGGCGGAAAAACAACAGAGGGTTGGGTTGG